GACCACTGAAGGGTCCCGATTGGGGGGGTTTGAACTTGTGGTCACCATGTTGTCTGTTTGTCTGTATTAGCATGTTTTCTGTGTGTCTGTATTGTATGTTGTCTTTATTAGCATGTTGTTTCTATGTTTGTATTAGCATGTGGTCAATGAAAGTATCAGCACATTCACTGTATTAGCACATTGTTTATGTATCTGTATGCTTTGTTTAATTCGGCCACAAATACGTTCTTATAAATCTGTGAACTATTGGCATGGTGTGCTACACGTCTAGCTCCATCTTATATTTATTGCTACGGATGCTCGCTCACTTGAAACTCTGCCAGTGGAGCTGGCATCGCTGCAGCTGTTTACTTCTTGTTGAAACCACACTTGAAGATCTTCACACAAATCTGAAGGCAGTAAACCAGGGGGCAGCAATCCAACCAACTACTAATAGGGCTGTAGTGTTGAGTGAATCCTCTCAACACTTCATCCAATTACACGGAAACATTTCGTTGCTGGGAAACGCTTGGCTAGATTCTTCTCACTTCCTGACCCATTTTGCCAAAAACAACTCCATTAAAGAGAGACTTGTTGGACTGCTGTATCGTAGAAGTGATGCTATTCATTCATGGTTCAAGGGTCAGACTGAGCTATAGAAAACAGACAAAGGAAGAGCAGGGTAGTGTGGCGTGGGTTTGTAATGCCCTTGGAGCCCGTCACTGTGATAAAGGACCATAGAAATAAACTCATTAAACTAAAAGTTGTGTATGTGCACAACCAGCAAAATAGCTTGCTGTATCTATAGATGTATGTAGAATCGCTCCACCCAGGCAGAGTATTGCCACTCTAGAGCCATTCAGACCAACATCCCAAGCATATCAAAGGCATACCTTAAAATGAACAGTAGTTGTAGTCAGTGGCGATTTTAAGGTTATTAAACGTGGGGTGCAATGGGAGTGTGCAAAATGTTTTGGGCTCCTTTAGGGTTGCTGAAGACTGGTTTGACTCGGCACGTGCCCCCTGTTTGTTTGGGCCTGACGCCATATAACTACATGAACACCTATTTGTTATATATAGGCTTAAATGTTGATCATCATTATGAATCAGCAGAAAAGGCTACAACATTAAAGCCAACAACGCAGTCATTATAGCAATTGTACACAAACACTGTAATATCCCAGCTGAGAGCCACAGGAGCTTATGATATCATAATATATATCATATAATATCCCAGCTAAGAGCCACCGGAGCCAAATGCGCTAACATTAACAACAACACTGGACGTTGGATGCTATGTTGTGTGCCATGCATGAGTAAGAGGTCATTACGTGGTTATTGGAGAAATTTGAAATTAATAATTAGAGCACAACAAAACATGATAGAATATACAAATCTGACATCACTTCTTCAAAGAAAATGTTCTTTTAAATCTTTTTTGACATTGATTTGAAAATTTGTATATTTCCATCCCAACAGTAGGGAGTGAAAATGCACCCCCTGCACCCGCGGTAAAATCGGCAATGGTTGTAGTTTTAATGGGTGTAGTACTTGTGCTAAGTATTTGTGTTTGGTACTTGCGTCTGGTACTCATGTTTGGTAGTTACGTTTCGTACTTGTGTCTGTTACTTGTGTTGGTGTTTAATACCTGTACATTTCTTGGGGCTCCCGGGCTTCTTGCCATGCATCCCAAGCTTGCAGCCAAAATTCTCCTCCCAGAATTCTGCGAACCAGACGTTGCGGCGGTTGTTGGAGAGAGAGCGGCTCCTGAAGTAGCGATCAAACGCTGCAGAGGAGGAACAACAAGAACATCAGAACAAGCCAAATGCGCTTGTTAAGGGTTTCTAGAAACATCAACCAATGACCTAAAACAAAGATGCAGCGTATCGTTACAGTTGTCAAAGCTGCAAACCGAGGTGTTTGTTCACTGCAGATTAGCGTTAAAAATAAATGTCATTTTATAGTCATTCTCTCTTCATTATCGCGACAGGGAATCATGAAAGAAAATGACTGATCACCATGAACCTTCATGGACCAGTACGAAAAGCCTAATTTGTTCATGTACTGTGGGGGGGCGTGGTGCATCAGCCGCAGGGGGGAGCGGTGGAGGGGGGGGAGGGAGAGCAGCGCCAGGTGAGAGTGATTGGCACACCTGTGTCCTGTTGAGCTAATCACTCTCTCCCTTCTTAATGCAGTAGCGTGCTGGACCCGGGAGAACCGGACCCGGGAGAACCGGACCCGGGAGAACCGGACCCGGGAGGACCGGACCCGGGAGGACCGGACCCGGGAGGACCGGACCCGGGAGGACCGGACCTGGACGCACGGGTTGCCGACGGGGCCAGAGCTCATGTGATCACATGATTCAGATATTATAATTGTGTGTTATTGGCAACAACATGCGTGTCCAGACATGTTAATCACTCCAAGTGTCCTCTGGAAACACTTCTGTTGTAATGTGTTGTAATGTATTGTGTTGTCTGTAAGGTTACATGCCGCTATTCCGACATGCCGCTACTTAGACATTGACGTCTAGTGGTCGGAGTGGCGGCATTAATATTATTTTCCAAGCGTCCCACTACTGCGACAATTTTTTTCCCCATTGTCTGAGTAGCGGCACTTTACTTTTTTTCAAACGTCCTGCCATTCCGACATGAGGCCATTAATATTTGTCATTATCATTGTACTTTAAATTAATTAATTAATGTGATTATACCCATATGTTCTGGACTTAGCAAACTGTTAACAAGTTTCTTATAAGCGCTTATAAATGTGTTATAGCCTGCTATTAACTGTATTATAATGCCATTATTAACACTTATATAGGCTTATAAACACACAATAATGTTAATAAGCATCTTGTAAGGACTTACAAGGGCCTTATTACCTATTAATTAATGGATATTACAAGGACCTTAATATAAAGCGTTACCGAATTATCTCCTGGCTGATGTTCAACCTGCCGACTCAGTTGGTGTTTTTAAACACATTGTTTTTCCATCTCTCATGGCACTTCTGAATCTATTTCTTGTTTACATATTTCTGCCTCCATTGTGCGCAACAATGTTTCTTCCACATCTTCCAAGATGGCTTCTCCCAATCAGGACGCCTGTTGGGAGGTATAAAGGAGTGCAGCATCCCTCATCGCTCTCTCTTTCACCTGCCTGGCACTGTGAACCGTGCTGCAGCAACCACTAGGTCTACTCCCTTGGACATGTTTAGTTTAATGGCATTACTGTTTTGTTAATGAACCAATGTCTTCCTCACATTAAACTCTGGTTTGGTTCTCTTTATGTTGCTTCCCCACGTGCCGGGTCGTTACAGTGGTTTTCATTTATCGTTACAGATAAATGAAAACCACCTGGGTAGCTCAATTGGTAGAGCAAGGCATTAACACTGCCAGGGTTAAGGGTTTAATTCCCACCTGGAAATCAACATCTTGCTATGTATGCACTAGCAGAAAAAAGCGTCCATTAAACCTCCTGGTGCCACAATATGGGCAATATGGCTTGGTCATTGGTCGTTCATATGCTGCACTCTTTCGGTGCTACACTCTATCTCAACACACTTTCCTGGCTGTCTTCACAGTCCTGTCACAAGGCACAAAAGGCCCATAAAACATAAAACCTCCAGAAATATCCTGCCCATTCACAGTTTGAAAGGTGTAAACCTGGAGCGTGTAAGAATGGCTGGGTGGGTGGGAGAGGAAGTGTAAAGGGAGGGTCACTCCAGTGTCTTACCATCCACTGAGGCTCTCTTAGGCAGGATGGTGATGGCCCCCTCGGCCACCTTCTCCTGCTGGACCACCGGGGAGATCTTGGAGCCCCAGCTGTCCGAGCCCACCCACAGGAAGTGACCCGTCTGGTTGTTCCTCTTGGCTGCGTCCAGGATGCGCCTGGCAGATGGACAGAAGTAGAGGAAGTGGTAGAGATATAGCCCAGAGAGAATCAACCCAGAGGAAGTGATAGAGATGTACCCCAAAACAGGAACAGAATAAATCCCATTTTGGTGTGGACCAGGGGCCAGATTCACAAAAGTATCTTAAGAAGAAAAATCTTTGTAACTGCTGTTTTTTCTTCTTGATTTAATTCTTAACTACATAAGTGTGTGTATGTGTGTATGTGTGTGTGTTGTACCGGATGTCGTCCTCATTGGCGAACATAATGACAGCGCGGGCGTTAGGGGTCTCCAGCAGGCGGAGGATGGTCTTATCAAACTCTCCTGGTCGCGGCTCTCTAGGGACCTTCACAGACTGGGCTATACACACCCCACCTGGGGAGAGAGACATAGACACACAGAGGGAGGGAGGGTGAGAGTGAGAGACTTGATTACATTCACTGTTTAGTGTGATATACTGGCCTAGTCATTGCAGGCAGGCAGGCAGACACACACACACACACGCACACACAAACCTCCACAGGGTTTGCTGGCTGGCATTCCAGACAGCCAGATGTGCTCCATCCATCATGGCAAATGTAAACAAACAGCTGTGTAAACAACAACAACAGGCACGGTCTGGCTCAGGAACCTCCAGACACCCTCCTGAACCCTCCATCATCCAGACAGGAATCCCAGAGCCCTCATCTCTCCCTCCACTGCCCTCCATTTAACTCCCCCTCACAAATCCGTCAGACCCCCTCACAGACCTAACAGACCACGCAGAGCACTACTCCACGACCGATTGCCATTTCATACGAGACTTAGCAGACGCATTTATCCAAAGTGACACCGAGACATCAGTGCCATCTCACAGTTTTGGGATGTTTTGGGGATTTGTCCACTGCCCTCTGCCATACCCTTCACATTCAGCCCAGTTGAACTTAGATGATAGAGCTTTCTCAAACAAGTTGAGATAGAGCAAAGGGATCTTTTTGGTCTCTGATGAATACCGGGATGTCATCAGCATATGCTGACAGGCTAGCTGATGCCTGGTTGCAGCCTTCCCTAAGAGATAGTCCTGGCAGACCCTGTGTGAGCTTGTTAAGGAGCGGCTCGGTTGCTAAGGTGAAGAGCATTCCAGATGACGGGCATCCCTTAAGGATCTCTCTCTGGACTGTTACCGGATGGCTGAGTCCACTCTCCACTTTCAAGATGACAGAGGCTCCCGAGTAAAACAACTTAATCCATGAAATAAAAGTTTTTTTTGTACATGTTTTGAACAGATATTTACCATCAAATATCACATTATTTTTTGTATCGATAAGTCGTTAACATCGTAGTGCGTAGTGCATTATAGTGTGTTCAGGCACAATACGTTTGACTGCAATGTATAATAGTGTCCATACACTCTAAGGGCCCTATCTTGCACTCAGCGCAATTGACTTTGTACACTGGCGCTTGTACAATTCCTATTTTGCACCCAACACACATTGGAATTTTCCCTCAACCGGCGCAAGTCCTTAACTTAGGGAATGAACTTGCGCTCCAGGGGCGGTTCAGCGAAAACAGGAGGCGTGTCCCGGTGCAAATGTTCCCAGGTGCTATTTTGCAGTTTCAGAAAACAATTGCGCCACAGACCAGGAAAAACCTAGTCTAAAGTCAGTGGCGCTTATTCAGATGCTATTTTAAGGGCGCATGCTTGGCCATAATGTAGCGTGTGTACAACATGCATACACTTTGCTTCTCTCATCTACAAGGAAGCAGTTCCCATTTTTGCAAACCATACACACAAGCAAAAATATTACCACATATGTGAAAAAATAGGCATAAATCTAGCGTACACAGTTACCCAAAATATTCAGGCTAATAGTAATGACGGATCAAATTAACCTGTTTGACCAATAGTCGCAAGACACATAGATATATAAGGACACCAGGATGACACCTTTTATTATGACAGCAACAGCGTGTGAAATGTTTTATAATCGAAAACACACAGAAACACGCGGTGTAATTGAAAGAACATTCGGCATACTGAAAATGCGCTCCAGGTGTTTGGATAAATCAGGAGGCACTTTACAGTACAATCCTCAAAAAGTCGCAGCATTCTTATGCAGGAAATATTACAGGAATTCAGGAGACGCGAAGTTGAACTGCATGTGCCGGTGCCATTTAACCCAAATACCCCAGCAGCAGCACGGGAGAGGAGAGCTTATTTGACAGAAGAGCTGCATCATCTATAGTGAGGTAAGCAGTGCTCGAAGTGGGCCGGTACTCACCGCTACGCAGTATCGGCACTTCTACATTTTACCCTTTGGCGTACCGGCACTTTTTCTTGCGTACCGGCACTTGTCACAGGCTGCCGGTACTCTACTCTGCCCTAACCAGGGGCGGATCTACCGGGGTGGCATGGGGTGGCATAAAAAAAGCCTTGCCACCCCAGCTGCCATCCCAGTTGGCAGCGCCGGGGTGGGTTACGATCGCGCGCACCCCCCCCCCCCCCCTTTTTTTTAATCGAAAAATTCAGAACTTTACAATGGTTGACTGATTTGCACGCGTCGCTTATATGTGAATAAGGGAGTACTGGCACTTATTTTTTTCCACTTCAAGCACTGGAGGTAAGCAAAGTAATCTCAGTCTAATGTTAGACTACATTGCAAATATATCACCCTGCATTCATAACCTCGTGATTCAGTGAGAGTGAGGCCAAAACATCGGAAAGTATGTCTTTGTGACATTTCTTTATTTACATTTTGTCAACGGAAAATGAAAAGCTGAAAAGATTTAAACAGAAGAACAAATTATTTTTCCCTCTGATAGGTATGTGCGCGCTACGGCGGGATTGGACACGTCTGGGTCCAGTAGTGGCAATGCGCGATGTGCTCGCCACGGAACAAGCGCGCCTGCATTTAAAGGGAATGTGAGAAGACGCTCTGATTGGTTTATTGCACGTTACGCCCAAACCACACCTATGACTAATGTAGCTACTTCAGACCAACCCATTTTAGATTTGCGCTGGGCGCAAGAGTCATTTATCCCGCCGGCATAATAGCAACAGCGCCCAAGATCCGCCCACAAAGCTACTTGCGCTTTGCGTTTGATACTTGCGTTTCAGACCGGCAAGATAGGTCCCTAAGTCTGTTTGAAATACATTTGGATAAGATGTCCTAGGTCTCCTGTTGTTTGGTAGAAGTGCATAAAGCTCAAAGGTGTTCCAGGTACAGTTAAAACATTCATTACAAACAGTTTATACATAATTTCCAATAATAATCTGAGGGAAGTCCATCTAGTCCACAGAGAGGACACAGGACAGCTGCCGGGCAGCAGTAGTCCTCTCCATTAGAATAATTGACTAACAGACCGAATCCACTAAGCTATAAGTCAATACTTGATGAAAATGGACTAAGAAAATACATTTGATAAACCAATGGAAGGTGCGTGTCTCTGTTATCATTTTAAACAGCAGTGTTGAATCACTATAAATGGAAAAGGCAAACATATCATTCATCTTCAATGCACACCTGACAACACAAGCACTGTGACTCAGCTCCACTCTCACTCAAACACTAAACATCCGCTGAGAGAGAGACACACACACATAGAGAGTGGCACAGAGAGATACCAAGAGACACACAGATACCCCTTTTCCACCAGAATTACTGTGTATATGCAGGTTTATTAAATGTTGGAAAACATGATAAAAATAGGCAACTGACACCTTTCCCAAAGCGAGCAGACTTTATGTTTTCATTTTTTTTGGGGGGGGTGTCACATTCGACGTCACAGATGTGCCAGAAAACAGTGTTGGAGGCCTTATGTATAGCACTTTTCAAAGCAAATTTACAAAGTGCTTTCCATAAAAATACAAATAGGAAAAGTAACAGTTACAATAAAAACCCAACAAGGGAAAGCAAGCAACAAGTAATGAATAAAGCAAAAAGGAAAGGACGCAAGTGAGGGAAACGTGGATGCAATTTAAGAGAAATGAGAAGCACCCCAGGATGTTTGACCACGCACTCGCAGTTTTTCTCCATGGGCTCTTTGAAGTTTGCTTACACAGAGCACGTCAGTTGAGTAGGCGGTCCTTCAATGTGGCCAGGATTACATTAGTTTCACACTGCTAAGAGAATGTGGATATATGATTAAGAGGATGTGGATATATGATTAAGAGGATGTGGATATATGAATAAGAGGATGTGGATCCAAAAGTGATCTGATCTGAATGCATCCTCAATGTGTCTGGGATGCATTCACACCTGTGCTTAGAGCTGTCCACCTGTGATCGGATCAGCCAAGATGCACGTTAATGCCAGGTGTGAACAGGGCCAGAGACACAGAGAGACACACAAACAGAGACAGAGAGACAGAGAGACTGACAGCGAGAGAGTCAGATACAGAAAAGAGAGACACACAGAAAAGAGAGACAGAAAGACTGACAGCAATAGAAACAGATACAGAAGAGAGAGACAGAGAGCAAGGGAAGAGAGAGCTCCAAGTGTGTTCTAGAAATGTAGAACGTTTAATAACAGTCTCACATTAATTATTAACCAAGAGC